AGTGTTTTGATGGTATAAAAACAAAGGTTACGATTCACGCTCAGGTACAGCAGTGTCTTAAACATTCATGCAAGACACTCTGTTAGTGATAATACAATAAGCGTTGTTTCGAGTTATTTTGCTTCCAGAAGGGCATTCCATGACTTACGGTTGCTGTTAATACGGTCTACACACCATTGCATGTCGTGGCATAGCATCGACACAAGGGTATTGAAAAACTTGGCGGACACAAAGTCGATGAAGCCGATCTGGCCCTTGGCTAGCTCAGTGTTCAGAGACCGATCAAACATGGGAAGCACCTCCACTCCCTTTTCCTTTTCCATGTCACCCTGGCGGTAAAATTCTTCAGTCACCGCTATTCTCAGTTTAAAAGTATTTAGGCTATCACAAAACTATCGATTTAATACACATCAACTGCAAATATTTCAGGCATTACTTGTTTTTTCCCAAAGAGTATAAGATTATAGCGTCTTTGATTTTAAAAATTCATTTTTATTGCTTGATACCATCAGCGGTTTCAAATACATGAGTGTTTAATTCTGCACATCTTTTGGAAATAAATAAATTTTACTATTAAGCCTTCCTGCTTTTGCAGGATTTAATATTTAATTTCCTGTCAAATTTATAATATATTCCTTCACTTGCCAACCTTAAGATGAGGATTAGCATTTTACTCTGAAGTAGACTCATCAAAACACATGTACCTTATTATGACAATGATTGGAGTTTGAAAAAAAATCTCTGAAAATTATGTTTTGGATACTTAATTGGCTAAAACTTAATTGCCAATGTTCTGAAGTGCCCTTGTGGATTCCTTGTATTGGGTTGACACAGTAATAAAACTTCACATGGATGTCTTTTAATTCATTTGTTCGTTGCATGGCTGCTATTTGTCAGGACAATATATGTAAGACTTACTTTTTCCCATTTTCAGTTTACAAACAGGTGAAAATTAATTGGATGAAAAAAAATATATATAAGTGAATCATCCAGCAGCATATTATATAGTTTGAGTTATTGTTCCTCTATTTTCCACTTCTATCTGGAAGACTGTATTAGGTTATTTCATAACCGATACCTTTAGCTCTATAATTCTATATTTAAGCACAGTTAAGTATAAATCAAAAATAAGGTTCCACAACACACAAAGAAACTCACCTTAAAGGTTAGTAAGCTGCTTTTTAAGTAGCTTCAGATCTGATCCCTTCCCAATACCAGGGATAGGTTGAGAACGTGCACTCGCAATTTCTAGTTCGCTTGGTTTGTGTTTATGCTTAAAAATAATGGAATGATTTAGATTCAGCATAACGTCGTCCTGAACCTTAACATTCCTCAAAATTCTGCGTGTTCCCAAGCTTTCAGAGAGGCTTGTGTCCATATTCTCCCCACTGGTTATGCTGGAAGAGGGCTCTTCAGAAGATCCAGTAGTCTTGTGTTCTATACTTTCGGGAAGTAAATCAAGACTATCCCAGGTTTTGACTTCATCATCCAGCATATGCATAGAATCATCAGTAGGAAAATTATATCTATGCTCTTCGTATTCTGCATTCTGCCTCTTTTTCAGATTTGATTTTTGGTTATTGGAACCTGAACTCTTTATTTCTTCATGACGTTCTTTATCAAGTACTTCGGAATATTTCATCAGGAGTCTCTTTATCTTAGGCTGCGTCACATCAGTAGATTTAGTTATACAATGTTCACCGCTGGTCAATGAAGTTGAATCGACAGCAAGTTTGCATGGATTTGACTTGCGTGTCAACTGATGATTATCGATCATAACAGGCAATTTTGAGTCTTTAGAGGCGCTCCTTATCACTTGGTGTATATTTGATAGTTTTGTACCTGGCTTAAAACGCACTGTAAAAGTCAAACTACTTTGCGTGGTAGGCTTATTCACAGCCGAGGTTTGGTTAGCCGCTGATTCACTATGCATATCTTTCACGATATACATCTCTAATTTCTTTTGATTCTCCTTGGGTCGCAGCACTGCCGCCCTATCTAAAATATCATCATAAACAGATTGGCATCGGCGAGTCTCCGCAAGTCGTGTGGCCACATCCACTTTGTCAAAAGCTTTATGTATATTATAGGATTCAGGAGCAACAATCATGTTTTCTGGTGTTTTGTTGTAAATAAAAGTGCCGCAGTCAGAACTCCGACATTCCTTTGCATAAGCAAGAGCACGTTTAACTTTAAAGTAAACTGGTTCGTGACACCGTTCTTCGGCCAACATGCTGCGATAAATAGCAATATCAATATTCGACGCAATTACCGGTTTATTAACAATTTGTCGAAATTGTGAAAAGAGAAGAATAATGTTGAAGCTCTCCTGATTATAACCTGCACAGTTTTTCGCACAAAAAGTCTCAAATGAAAATGATTCTTCCTCCGAGATAGGGTTGAAAAACGCTTTTACTTCACTATCAAGGGAATCGAACTTCGCTTTCAAATCCGAGTCTCCACACCAAGAAACGCCATAGCCTGAAAGAATGCTACAAACAGAGACGAATAATATTTGACGAGTTGGCGCCACCGCGTGTTGCATTTCTGTAAACGACGAAAAGTACCGCATATTGGGCAACATCATTCTTTTAAAATAGGAAACACCCCTGTTTGAGGTCATTGGGGATATTGGTTTTGTCATTTCGACATTCAGTTTCCTCATTAGCTTTTGGAGGTCAGTTGTTGAAAGTGCGCGCGCGGTTCGCAATGCAAGCATCGCTACGAAACGTTCATCACCTGTATTCATAAGCACTTTATCCTTTGCAAGCATTTGCATGACCATATTGAAGCTACTATTTTTTTTGGATAAATCCCTAGGGGTTATGATGTGTTCAACCAACGCTCGATGGTTGTACTTCATTTGCTCACTCTTAGAAATATTACGCCATAGCGATGACATAATCTTCATATTATTCTTGGACCCCTCAGAAAGAGTTTTAGCCTTTAGTAGATGATATTTTTGTTGCGTTTCCCGCACGAAAATGTTAAACCCGGTCATCTTGAAACGCCGCTGAGTAAGAATAGCAGAAACCCCTATTATAGAAGGACGATACAGTGATTTAAGCATCCTTTCGCACGTTACTTATGTCAATTATACCTGAAAATAATCTATAAAAGTGTTCGATTTTATGTAAAAGTATCTATATAGAGAGAAGGAGAGATAATAAAAGGGCAAAAACTGTATCAATCACGATGACATCTACAGATGAGTATCTTCCACATAGTCTACATTTTCAATAGCAACTGCTTTATGCACATGTCCACATCTACAAGGAAGCCCCTTCTTTCAGTGCTCATAGTTATTGTTCGGATATATGTATTTACTGAAACTTGGCTTTAATTGAGCAAGTAAGAGTCTTCAAACATCGCTCTGTTTTTATGGCCTTTCCCAACCGAACATGTGCATTATGAGAAAATGAGCACCATACCACAAGCGCCCTGCTAATGTTGATCGTTCCATGATAATTCCCTGACAATGGTAGGATCGGCGCATGTTTCTTGATACACCAAATGAAGGCCTCATGGCAAGATGAGTTTCATAGAAAATCCTTCCTGACTTCGTTTGAGTAATAATTTTGAGAGGGTTCCATCTAAAAAAACGATTGTTTATAACTAAAGATGTAACTATTATTCCATCATCCCTATCTTCTCGCCATGAAGAGGACTCGAACACTCTAGTAAAGACTTCTTGTAAAAGAAGAGGACATATCACAGGCCTTAACCTTTCGGAAACCCATATCATATAATTTGGGTTGGAAATCTTGCGGTCTCCATCCCAGATGACCTCGTAGAAGGCATCAGGGTAACGAATCATGCGGGCGACACACCCCATGTCGCTATTTAACACACATATTGAATTCCAATAGTTGATTGCAGGGTGGGGGGATGTCGAGCGTAAGCCAATGTCGTATCCAACTAGCCCGAAATAAACTGGCAGACGGTTACGAGCGAAAAAAGATCTGGAACATTTATTTCGGAATGGGTAACTGGCAGCGAAGGCTACCAGAGAATACAAATCTGCGTATCGATAGTTTATTTCATCTAAGCAGTTTTCCGTTATTTTCCAATCTGCGACCCCAATATCCATTTTTGAAAAGGTATGTTTTTCATAAATGATGCGGAGAAGCCTGAAGAAATCGCTTTCTAGCTCTTGCTCCTTTGATGCAACTAATGAACTAATATTTGGTGACATCATTCACATACTTGCTGTTATTTTTTTTTAAGTTATATATTTTCAAATTATGGAAAAGGATAACGATTATCGGAGACACCTTGATATTGCCTAAATAATATTCATTAAATATTATGAATATTTGTATATAGATCCAAAAACGCACATGCTTATAATAATAATAAGAATTGTATGAATCGTGCACATGTAACAGTTATATGCATAAATCTAAGGGTGGATCTATTGTTCTTAGAATCAACACATACTAATAGACTGGTAGTGTGAATTAGCCCGCGGGCGCAATCTAAGTTTTAAACGATCTCTACAGCTTTTTGCTGAAGAAGTGCCTCGGCATCCTCAAAGCTCAGCAGTAGTTGTTTGCCAGTGTAAATGCTAATCGTGTTTCCACTTACTGGAGAAACGAACATATGGTTTACAAGACCACGCACTTCCAGTTGCTGCGTTGAAGGAGGCCTCCATATAAAGGCTCTTAAATCAAGAGGGACCGCAAAAGAAGTAATATAATCAACCATCACGCTGTCGTATTCTTCAAGGAAATGGACTTCTGCTGGCGATAAGCAAGGCAACAAGGAATTATCCCGCGCTGACCACCATGCATTAGTGATTTGTTGTTGCCTCCAAAGCAGATAAGTAAGTAAGCAGCGCTTGTCACGTAGATACTTGGCTTTGTAATAACTCATTGGACTTGCGTAGTATGGCTGTTTCACATCACCATAAGGATTAGTTCTGATGGAACAAAGATGTTCATAAGATTCTTTTATTGATTCCACCACATTTCGGACTCTCCGTTCATCTAGAGGTCCTACTTGACCACCGCTAGCAATGAGTGCTTTTAATTCACTGATAAGCTCTGTCGAATCATCGACCTTAGAAAAGTGCATTTGATTTTAAAATCTACTAGTACAAAAAGAAAAAAACAAATTTTTAAGATACCTACACACGCAATAATGAGAAAACTAAAGGATTCACATATTAGACAGACAAATAGATTCAAAGAACACCAACAAAAAAACGTTGCGGTTAGTAAACGGTGACTTTTATCAATTTTGTCAGACAATAGCGTAGAAGTTAAAGATTCATTTCCACTGAAAAAAATTATTATATCTTTTTTTAGCACCATAACATTCATATTATATTTGACATTCTTGTATCGAATTTGTATCATAATGAACTTTTCCCCTTTTAAGCACTAAATAGTGCTTGTTAAATAATTATACTAATACTAATAATAATAACCCTATAGTAAACATTACAGGTCACAAAATTTTATCGGATTGATTTTGGCTTAATTTGGTGACTTGGAATGTCAACTTGCTTTTTGTGGCCTGAGCGTTCATGCTGAGATTCCTCATATTCGCGAGCAATGGCTTCAGCTTTGTCATACGGCGGTACCTCATTGTCACTATCCTCATTTTGTGTAGGATTCTTACCGTGCAACATTATTGTGGTGAAATAAAAAGTATTTTGATATATAAACTGTTTAGCGTAGAAAATTGGCAGGCTTTTAGTTATGTTTATAAAATAAAAAGTGAAATTTAATATGAACGTTAAATAGGACTCAACCACAATGACCTATATTCGGTTTTAGTACCATTAACATCGGAATATATGTACCATATTCTTTTTTGATATTGGGGGAAATTAAATAACGTAGAAAATGAGACTTGATTCCATTTTCTCCACATACCATCGCCATTTGGTTGAAACGTGACGCTGTTGAACAGAATTACAGCTCTCTATCAGAAAATTCTGAAGAAAGCACAAGGGCATAGGTTGTGGGTGATCTTCAAAAACTAGGTTCATTATTTTAGTTTAACTTTTAACAATATCATTGAGCTTTTCAAAGTTGGTTTAAATATGATCTGTTTATGAATAAAAAATGTATATAAGTGGGGAAAATATAGCCTGAATGGTTGTGAAGGCCATGTAACAAAGTAAGTCCTTCAGACCACTACCCCACAAAAAAGCTTCTTAACAAAGTATTGTTTTTCTTTACATGATGTTATAGTATTGATTAGTAAAATAGTTTTTGTTCACCCAGGAAACGCAGAGTTAAGATATCTCAGCAAAATAATAGAAAGCTGACATCAATCAAATAAACTTTTGTACTTTGTAAAATGTCAAATTCACCTATTCAAGCTTCTAATCAAAACTAAGCTGTTTTCCTGCCTCCTTCTTCCCCATGGCATCTACACTTTAGTTGAATCCATCTCAATAGCCGAGCAAAATTGTGTAGCCAAGTATCCCCATGATTTCACGGTTCGGTAGATCTACTCTGGGGTTCAACTAAATTGTTGTCCCCAGCAACACAATGGCATACAGAAACTGATCAATAGTAGCGATAAATGAACTAAAATGCTTATAAAGAATTCGACCAAAATCATTCACATAATAATATATGTTAGGTACTTCGTACCAATGACAACGCACGGTGCCTTGGATTTAAGACTTTCTGTAATTATTCTTACGTTACTACAGGAATCTCTTGGAAGCCAATAATAGACCTCTTGTGGCTAGAAGCATTCCATGAAAAATGGCATTGGGATTATCCATATTTCAGTGCCATTTTAGATAAGCTACGTTGGTATTATGCTTTCAACAAGGCACACAGTTATTTACGCACTGCACTTTCGGTGTCATCCTGGTACGGCATATGACTAAATGTTGTGTGCAACTTACCTGTCGCAACTACAGTGGTCTTTCATAAAGAATTTTAGTGCCTACATCATTTTCGAGCACTGTGAGTTTCAACGAGCAAGTACATTCACTTGATGGTCTCTCGACACCTTCCAAAGGCCCTCAGCCAATCCAAATGAGTTTTCTTTTGTATTAACAAAGGTGCATTTTAGGCATCATTAGAATCAAAATAATAAAATAAAAGAACTAAAAAATTCTTTTAATGCATACATACCGATATTTATTTATTTATGAGTGTAAAGTGAAAAAAAGAAAGATGTAAAGATACAAACAGATAAATTTCGGTTTGTTATATATTATTTTCCATTTATACAAACATGCTCATGAAGTCGACTTATAAAACTGTAAAAAGGGAATTACAAAACATATATTTTGAAAGAAAAGTAAGTACTCATATCCTTTAAAAAAAATTCTGTAATAAAGTACACGGCTGTTGCAAGGAAAATTGAAATCGGAAGTGCTGGGAGGGCGTGCAGAAAGTCACGAAATAGAAACAATGACAACAATGTCGCAGTCATACCGCTAAGAATCGTCACAAAACAAAAGAAAAAGGGTAAAAAGCCTGATAATGTTGCCTTCCCAACAAGAAGAGCATAAAAAATAAAGTCTCCTAACCCTAATTTAAAAGGAGAGCTATGCCTAAGGTAGGCAACCAATGGCAGCTTATGATTGCTTATTTTGGGATGAGAAGGTGAATTTTTTTTAGCATCACGATCAACCGGTGTGGGTTGCTGTTGTTCGACCGTGGCTACAGAATGAAGAGTCCTAGCACTATCATACACAAAACCGGGAATTGGTTCATTTTGAGCATCGGCAGCTTCTATAAGCAGCTTGAGTGGGCCATTAGGACTCAGAACAGCCACAATATCGTAAGTGGCAATTCCCAACAATATGGCCCAAGTTGTCCATTCTGGAAGCGCCGTCAGCGACCACGATAACAGAACTGAGGCAAAGACTAAATAGAACTGTGTAAATAGAGGATGAACATAGTAAAACAAAGAAACCATTCCTACTGCACCAAGATTCCAAACAATTAAAGTCATGGTAATGATATCATATGGAATCTGAAAACGGGTACAGACTAAATCTAACCATTCCCACATCGAGATGAACAAAATAGAGCCAGAGGAAAACATAAGCCAGGAAAACAGGATTCCAGTACAGTGATATTTGTATAAAACCAGTGTGAGAAATGTCATAGCAACTACAACTACTATCAGGCCACATGCATTTAGGAAGGACGCTCCTAATTTATCAATAGCGTTGTCATTCTTTCCCTCAACCATCAGCAACGTCAATGGAGATTCTTGGCTAAAAGCAGAAATAGGTGTCAAATTGTTAACACTCCAAACCACTAAAATAATGGTTAGCGAAACAGGTGCTAGCAAAGACACAAAGCGGGCTCCAATGCCTCGAGAAAATGTGTCCAAATCAACTTTTGTTGACATTTCGCGCATACAGTAATAATGTAAAGTACGTAAAGAGATATTTTTCTTACAAGAAAAGAGCAAAACATTTAGAAAATCATTTTTTCTCCGCAATCACCATTAGTTCGGCAATCAGTATCGATATAGTTCATTTATATAAGTAAAAAAAGAAGTCTCAAATCTACAAAGGGAAAAAGCTGGACGCTGGTGTACCCCTATTCTACACAATTTCGAGTAAAACAACAAAAAAAAAATAAAAAGAAATCCCCTCCACAAAAAAAGGAGGCGTTGTAACACACTACTCCATAATCCATAAATTCTTAGCTTCATCGACGTAAGGTAACCTTCTTGACTCTTTGTTGGGCAGATCGTACACTGTGATTAACCATTTGAGATCCTTGAAGCCAACGATTGGCGTGTTCTATTGCAGAATGCTTGTTTAATTTCAACCTCAACGTAGTCTCACCAGGATGTCCAACGATATGTTCTTGGGGTGGTAGACTATGTACGCGCTGTGAATCAACATATTGCATTCCATTGGGTGCAGACTCAAGATCTTGACAAAATTCAGAGATCGCATGGAATTGCGGTTGCTTTGAACAGAGTCTAATGTCCCAACAAAGAGCAGTTTGTATTTCTGTAAACCCAGTTTCTGAGTTGACTTTCTGCTGTATTGAATTTCCCTTTTCCATTAGAGTAGTAGAAAACTTAGTACTGTCTACACCCTTTAGATGATCAATGCGTGTTGCGTCAAGCCCAAGTGGCTTAGTCACGTGATAAGAGGGTAAAAAGTTTACGCCAGCAGCTAGGGCATTAGCTCGATGCTGATTTGCTCGTTCCACAAGTTTCCGATGTTTTGGTTGCTCAAAAGGCGGAGGATTCCCCTTGAAGTCAATATTGCAACGTTTCGTGAGCCAATGGAGGTGAGATAACAACTTCTCTTGTCTTTCAGCGTTTTCTATGTTCATATGAGTCGAGTGCTTATTTTTCCAAGCTTCGCTACTCTTTTGAAAGAGCAATTTGGAAACAAGAAAGACACTTGGGTGAGGATAAAAAAGACAACCAGTAAGGAAAAGAAAGATGCATCCAGACTGTAAAGAAACATTTCTTTCACGTAAACAGGATTAGTGGGTAGAAGCATATATCTATACTTATAGTGGTCATTTTTTTTTTTACTTGACTGCAGTTAAAGTCAGGCTTTTGAATGAAATAAACGCAACAAGTTGAGGGTGCACAAAATGAGTATAGAGGACGCCATGAACAAACAAGGTATATATTAGTGACCTTGCATGTGAATTTAGCATAATCAAATAACTGTTATAATCGATTCAGCTTCTTGCTGCACAGCGAGCAAACTAACTGCGGGCAGTGATGACGGAAGCCAACTAAAACGCGCTTCTCTGGAAGACACCAAAGGCAAAAGTAATTACCACACAACCTGCAATAATCCTTTCTACTAAATGGGAAGAAAACTCTTTTACAATTTGCACAGTTCAAGACTGATATTACATCTACCCATGGCGTTTCTTTTACCCACAGATTCTCAACGTTAGCCATCGTGAGATTATTAAAACCAACTGTAGAGAAAAAGGGATGTGCCTTAATCTCATGCATTGAAATACGCTTTTCGGGCGATTTTATTAGTAACTTCTTAATAAGATCCTTTGCAAGTGGGTCTAAATTCTCAGGATACTCGGGCTCTTGTTCTATAACTGCCCTAATAAGAAGATATTGTGTGGGCGCATCAAAAGGTCGCTTTCCCACTAGCATGTGATATAGAACGCAGCCACAACCCCAGTAGTCCGATGCACAGCAAGTATAATTATCTTGGAGAAGTTCAGGGGACATGTAGTAGGAAGTTCCGCAAAATGTTTGTGCACGTTCGCCGCCACTTTTCTCACCCTCGGGACGGTCGTTTACTGACTCACACACAACTGTAGTTCCGAAATCAATGAGCTTGACGTGCATATTTGAACTCAACATTACATTCTCGGGCTTAATGTCACGATGCAAGACTGTGATGGGCTTCACTGGAGCTCCTGGGAGGAATAGGTTTTTCTTTTCACCATAATGTAGATAAAATACTGCAGAAAAAAGTTCAGCGATGGCGTGTCTGCTAGCTTCTAATGGAATGCGATGGAGCCGTTTTATTGCATCAAGTAACTCACCCCCCTCACAGAGTTCTGTAATGTATACTAAATCTTCTGGTGACTGCATAGAACCAAAGAACCGCACAATGTTCGGGTGAACACACATCAGAAGCATTCTGGATTCCCGTCGTGCTGCTTCAGCCATTTTTATCCGCTCCTCTTCGGTTGGCGCGTTTAGAATAGTTCTCTTGGAAATGAGTTTAACTGCGTAGTATACATCTGTCGGTAAATGAAGACCTATGACAACTTTACTAAATGCGCCGCTTCCGATCTGCTTCTCGAGCTTAAAATCAGACAGATTCATGCGGCGCACTGTTTGGGACATTATTATTTTATTCTGATGCTCTGGGAATCAAGAAACAAACATATACGCATACAAAGCCAGGATATGTATATACATATACACATATATATATATATAGATATATATGTATTTATATACTTATTTATTTAGAAGTACAGATGGGGAAAACAGTACGAAAAGATTTATCAGGTATGCTCCTCAAGAATAAAACAATAATGCTGAAAATGTACACAATAAGTGTCGCGTGTCAATACAAAAAAAGGTTGATTCTTAATATGTAAAGCTAAAATATCCTCTAAGCTTCATTTCTCAAAGTCTCAAGCAGAATAAATTCTATTATTTCTATTGATTAATTCAAAATAGAAGCCCCTGGGATCATTCAAATATCGATCTATTCTTCGTTATCTACTCCATTACGACCCTCAGTCCCTTCTTGGGAAGATTCCGTACAAAGGTCCGCAAGCATCCTGGATTCCCACTCCTCAATAGCGCTCTTGTCACGTCTTTCAGCCCCAACACGACCCGATTTTTTTGCCTTTACAGCAATGGATTTGAACAACTGGAGCACCTCTGGGTCACGCAACCAGTGACGGTACTGTTGATAGCATGCCTCAGACATGATACGCTTAATAGAGCGATCAGTGGTGTAGTTTAACTCACTTAAGCAAAATGCTAAATTTCGAGCCAGTTGTCGTTTCTTTATACTTCGCTCTGAGAATGCTTCAAAACTCTGGCAAAGACGCTCGACAAGTGAGTCGGTTGGTTTGTCCCCTTCGACTCGCTCCAAGAGTGTGCGCACAGCAAGCTGGAATTTATCAGCTGGCATCAAATTGCTAAGCTGAGACACTAGCGGCGGAATGAGGTTACCGATCTTTTCTTTTTCCCTCATAGCAAGGTTTTGCACAAAGGTTACAGCGTTGCTAGAGATTGTCTCGTCGGGGTCAGCGACTAACCTGATAATAGCGTACAGGTGGTCGCGAACACGTAGCATTTCGCCCAACACTAAATGTGAACACACCTGAATAGTAACGGCTCGTACTCGTTTATCATCATCCGCGAGCATCTTAAAGAGTCCAGTAGTCGGCACACTCAAATATGACGCCAGGAGGTTGGGGTGCACACAGGCAAGGTCCCCAAGAGCTATCACAATATTTGTCTTCATAATCCAGGACTCACGCTTGTTTGATGCAATAGACAAAATAACATGGAGATGTTCCTTGCAAAAATCCTCATCAATAATCATCAGTTGGCAAAGCGTCATAACAGCACATACACGCTCTAACGGGCGGTCACCGGCGGAAATACTCTGCTCATGACCGCACGCCGATACAACTTCTTTGGAAACGGTGTGCCAAATCGAACCCACTGAAAGAATCGCACGTCTTTGTTTCTGAGCCAGCTCGTGCACAGTGTGACGCTTGAATTCGTACGAACCCAACCCAAGTTCTTTTTGCATAGAATCTGTATCATTGCTGTTGTTACTGGCAGGCTCTTTGGTCAGCTCTTCAAGAGCCTTGAGCTGTTGGCGTTCGACGGATTCAACGGCCACCAGTTGTTTGAAGGCGGTTTGGCCCACAAGAAAGAGGAGCTGGGACTTGGTGTTGCAGTCATTCCGTGTGTCTATACATGAGACATAATACTCCAAAACGTAGTTATAAATGGCTACGGGAACATCACACAGGTAATGAATAGCGCTCAGAGCAGCCTTGGCAAGACACATCCAAGATGCAATAGCGGTGGTCTTACGGCAGAGGTGAACAATGAGATGCTTTAAAACACAATGGGTCTTTGGATTTTCAGTTGATGATATAGGTCGAAACTGAGGGTCCAATGCTTCGCACTGAAGAGTTGCAAAAACATAGGAAAGAAGAATGTTGTCCTTATGCACATTAGACTCCAAAAACTCCAGAATACTACCCTTCCTCAACCGAAGATCTCTCCAATGGTATTTAGAAAGTAGGCTGTAAATGCGCATGGCAGTTCGGCAGTTGTTCATTGTGGCTTCCTGAGTTACGGCACCTTCCACGACGCTCCAAACGGCATCGATAAATGGTCCGGACAGAAACCGTGTGTACGTCGTATTAAGCTTTAGTAAGCTAAAGATGCGGTCCACAGCGCTAATTTCTCCCTCTGAAGCTTCATTTAATATACTGATAAGTCGCTGCGCACTTGCACTAGCACGGGTCATGGTAGAGCCTGGAAGACGGTTGAAGGATGCAAAAACGACTTCTGCAAACGCATCTCGCACAGCGAGCTGAACTTTAACTTCTCCTTCAAACACCATAACCAGAACCTTTCTAAAAGCTTTAGTGGAAGCCTCAAGGCTGAATTCTGAGCAGGCAACAATGAGTTTAATAGATTCAAAGACGTCCCGTTCCGTTCGACTGTCTAGCAATGTGGTAGCGTACTGGAGAGCTGTTCCTATCAACTTTACAAAGCAAAGCGCATTTTCATAGAAGAGCACCTTACTCAACGCAGCCATTTGTTCATTTTCCAGAGTTTTAGGGTCAGGTGATGTATTATCTCCTTCATTTATTTCTTCCCCATCTTCTGTATTGGCTTCCAGCGGATCGTCGAGGTCCTCGTTGGTTGGGCGAAATTCCTTTCGCAAAAAAGAAAAGTGCTTTTTCACTTCAGATTCGTCGTTTGTAAATTTCGTCAATACTTCCGCTTTTGATTCCTCTAATTTACTTAGAATAAGAGTGAAATTAAGTACATGACCAAACCAGTTTTTCCTTAAAATGCAAGAGATTAAAGACATGGAAGAGTCGCGCACAAGGTAGTTTTTATCTTCCAGACGTCCGACTACAGCCTCGGTGAGTGCGATATGGTAACGTTTCGGGACTGCCTTGGCCTCGGTAAGTTTTTCCCATGTATGCAGGGTGTGGTTACGCACGAATGAGTTCACATCCATGATACGGAAAAGCAACTCATTTAAGTACTTGTTGCGTTTTGACCCTTCTTCAGAAGTAAGAGATGAAGTTGTGTACCGCTGCAAGATCATCTCCGCGAGACATGTAATAACCGCCTTACGGA